AATGATGCCAAATTCATATCTAGCTCCTTGAATCCTGGTGGTTTGGTTAAGAGAGAGTTGTACTAATAAGAAATTGGCCATAAAAGTGTGAACTTTTCAACCAAAGACAATGTCCTAGCTAAGTACATAGCTATAGGTTGTATAATTTATGGTGGACCAAGGGAAGGGTGTTGTGGTAAAATTTTGAAAATTGATGGCCTTTTATGAAGAAAGCTGAATAAAAAAGTCATTGGCACTTGGAGAAAGAGACGGTGGGGACTGGGGAATTTAAAAATGGCCAAGTTGCACTAAGTGAAAGAAAAGTTTTCGGGTTTGTTTGGTTTTGTTAAGAACTGGGGAAGTAGATTACCAAAAACAAATGGTAATACCTAAAAAGTACTGGAAAAGTGGGAGAGAAAGAGGGTAAGAAATTGGATACTGAACGAGGTCATTATCATGTATAAAAATATTAAATTCATGGGAGTTTGTGATTGTTTTTTATCTGTTTTATTTTTAACAGTTATTTATTGTACTTAGATACTTTAATTTATTAATTTTGTTAATTAATATCATTTAAAAATTTTGTATAATCCCAATCTTTTTGTGTGTTGCAATAACTACATTTTAGATTTTGGTTTTGTTTTTTGTTTGCCCTATTAGAAGAGATGCTTCTTTAATCTTCATAGACCATGGATATCGGTGCATGTAGTAGAATTGTAGATATGGCATGCTCGAAGGGGAACATGATTGTTGTTTTTTTTTTATTCTTGAACAAGTACAATCTAGGGTAAAAAAATGAATAATTTTAGCATGACAATGTTATACCTTTGATCTTGATTATTATTAATATATTACGTATACCTAATAATTAGTTTATGAAGCCTGCTGGAAGGGGAGTATGATTGTAAAAGCATAGAGGGCGACAATTTGGATAAGGAAGACAAAGATGTATGGTACACAACACATACGTATGTGGATGTTCCACACATGTTCATGCCTCCGTGTCCAATATCTCCTTTTAATTATTTAAACGATAGCATCCTCATATTTTTCTTTTGGCTAATTCTCTATCTTTTTCTTGGGTACACATGCCATTTTTTATTGCTCCATTTTATTTCATTTTTTCGTAGGCAATGATTTATTCTATAATTTGCACATTTTGGCGCTTTTTTATTTGGTTTATAACCCCATATGTTAATGTAATAAAAAATTAATATATAATAATTACTGATATTTTTATGGTAATGGTAATATATAGAAATTGGAGTATAGAAAATCGACATGTAATATAATTAAAATGTAAAGAATAATAATAAGAAATTTAATCTTTAATAAATTAGTATACAAGATGGATATTTTAAAATATTTAAATAATTTCACAAATAATTATAACATTTTAAATATTAAAATATACTACTAATTTTTATTTTTCTCTATAAAAATTTATTAAATTGTCTTTTGGCATTTGGGAATTGGTCTTCTCCGGGCTGTGAAAATGCGAAGTCCATTAAAGGCCCATATTTGTCCAATCTTTTATTTGTGAAAGTCCGAAGGCCAACAAGAACCAAACCCAAAAAGGGCGAAAACCCAACCCAAAATTAAAACCAAGAAAAAAATAAAATAAAATTCTGAATGTCTTGCTAACAAATGCTTCGTCTAATAGGATTGTAGTTTTTAATTTATGGTTTTGACTTTTACAAAGTAAATAATTAAAAAATTAAAATTGTCAATTGATTGGATATAAAATTTTAAAATAAATATAAAGTATTTTAAACTTAATTAATTTAAAAAATATTTAATTTTATTGTAACATTTTTAAACTTTTAAAAATCAAAACCAAAAATCAAACTACAAATATACTAAATGGAGTGAAACTAATTTATATTTTTAGAAGAAAAATTATCTTCATCCCTCAAATTTGACAGCTACCACCCGTCCGTCCGCCGTCAGGAGCTCCGACTTCCCAACCTTTATGCAGTAATTTCCTAGCAGATAGTTTGCTTCTGACACTACACGTTTCAGTGTCACTGTAGCTTCTCCTTCTGCAGCATAGATTCTTCGGCTTCCTTGTAAACTTTAGTACTTAATCTCACCGCCCCTGGTCTCAGTCACGAGATGGAACAAGGTTTTTTTGAGCTAATTAGAGCATGAAAGTGTAGCCATACGTATCCCTTTCTTTTTGTGTGTGAAAGATGGCTATAGTGATCCCCGTTTGGTTTGCCTTGCAGCATCATTTAGATAGAAACTCAATGCAACCTATTTTTATTCTAGAAAATAAATAGAAATGAGAATACAAATGTTAAACATGTTTAGAATAGCTAACATTAGGATACAAATATGGCGTCAAGTAGTTTCACTCAACCACAGCAGAGAATGTTTTCAACATGTTATCAAGATGCCTAAATGTAACGACAAAAAATCAAGCTGAGGTTCTCTAAATAGTATTCCTGCATCTCAAAATTTCACCTCCGTTGTCCATGTGCCTTGCACACTAGGGTGTTTGATAACATGTCTAGTCTTCAGCTTCACTACTTTTCTTCCCAGTGAATTCCTTAGCCTGGTGGTGTAATCTAGTATCTCTTCTGGAGTCAAATTCTTAACACATATCACCTTCTCATTTTTGTTCTCTGTGTGCATGGCAAAAGAGATGCTTATAAGTAGAGAGGCTTCACAAAAGCACACATGGTTAACCACACAAGAATACGTGCACCTAGTTGTGTACTTAAATCTCCCACCATGAGAGGAAAAAGGAAGAAAACTTACTATAAAAGCCCTTTAAATGTGGATGCTGTGCACGAATGAGTTCAGTCACGACCTCTAGCTGTGGGTTTTTCTCTTTAAATGTTGGCAAATGTGACTCCATGAATGCCCTGCCGAAATAATACCAAAAGTAACCCACTTATATGAGGAGCAATTTAAATGAATTAATTATGCATTTGAGACTACCATACCCTGTATGTTAGGAAACCAGCAATGAGAGAAACCAACAAGTAATACTTGTAGCCTATGTATGAAGTGAAAGCCAGAAGCGGAAGTAGAGTTTGTTTTGCAAATTTTTTATAAATATAGACTTGTCCCAATTCATCAGAAGAATAGATATCCAAGCACTAACATTCCTGAACTCTTCATTGCATTTGGCAAACAACAAGCAACTTCCACTGATGCTGGCACAAGGTTGTAGCTAATCAAATGCAGAAAAGAATCTTATAAAATGGCTCCCTCTCTCAAATACTGGGTGTATATTAACGCAATTTGCAACAGGAATTGTATATGTTACTATAAGAGTCCACAGCAAAAAACTTACTCTGAATTATGTAGGAGGATATGTAAGAACCAGACTTATTTTCCTTATGAGAAAGAAATGATTTGCTTGCTACAGAACTAATTTCCGTCAACTAATCTTCCAATTCCATGCTAAATGATTTCCGAGAAACTATAAAGCTACCTCTTTCTAGCAACTGTCCTATTAAATCCTTGTCCATAAGACATAAGGACAAATGGTCCTTATCCTTTACAAAATGTCTGCATAATACTCTCGCAGAAGAGTAATCTCGAGCAAAGCGATTAACTAACTAGAACAGCAATGCCATCATATTTTCCCTACCATGCTTTTCATATCTATTGGTCCCAATTCCAACCCAAACTATCACTTTATATTTTATATCAAAATAAAGATTGTGATCATCCCAACCGTAAGCAGATACTGATTTACACGAAATTCCATGGCAAAGTACAACCTAAGCAGACATATGCTTTCCAATCAATTCCATTGCAAAATCACACATTCACTGTTTGATCGTATCTACAACTTCATTTCATGTTTAAAACACCCACCCTCCCCCAACCTGAATACAGGATAATAGTAAACAAAGCCCATTCCACTTAAACCTATAAATATGCAAGCCATTCATATTTGTGATATTTATAGATTATAATCAATATGACCCTGTAAAAGAATACGAGGATGAATACCCAAAACTTGAAAAACAACTCCAAAAAGGTTTAGAAACATTCAAAAAGAGAAAAAAAAAAAGGGAAAAAGATAGAGCTGGTTTTTTCACGATTACAAAGAGAAAAAAAAAAGAAAAAAAGGCACCCCAATAGAAAAGAAATTGCAACTGAGAGAAAGGTACCTGATGCCCCTGCTACTCCCTCCCCAATCACAGTAGCTTACGATCAGCTTTTGAAGCTGCCAAACACCTCTCAACGCCATCTGAACTCCAAACAGACACCATGATAATCAGAAAACAAACGAGAGCAATAGGAATACATAGATCAGTGAGCACTAAAAAGAACGAAAGCTACTGAAAAACAAATCAATATTCAAACGAAAAGAGTCCTTCTTTCCGCTTTAACACAATAGAACTCAAAAATTTGAGAAAGAAGAAGCAAATGGGTCAATCTAAAACCCTCTAAACAAAATTCCCCGAGACAATATCTATCAAGATAAACGAACAATTACAAAAAATGATGAAAAGAAATGGTTTTGATATTGGAGATGCATACCGATTCCCTCCGGAATCTCTAGAGTCGAAGATTCTCAATATAATTGCTGCAAAAGAAGGAGATGTGGGCAAGAAGTGAAGAAGGAGGGGTTGAGGTAGAGGATGAAGAAACACAGAACGCCAGGGAAAGAAGAGGAGGGTTTTTGAGATTGGGTTGGGCCTCAGCCCTAGTTTCCTTTTTTGTTGGGCTGTAGTTTTTATTTTTTTAAGTCTAATGAAACAGTGTGATTGGGCCAAAGTGGGGATAACTAATTCAGTCCTATCGGCATGAGTTTTGCGAGTTGGGCTACAAATGGGTTTTGCTGATTTTAAGTTTTTAAGCCGAATCTACAGGGGCTTGGATTAACGAGAACAATTAACTTTTTATTTTGACTTTAATTTATTAAATGTAACGAGAAAAATATATTTTATAATTTAAATTATATTAAATTATAAAATATTAATTATTAAATAATTTTTTAAAATATTATATATCAATATTAATTTTTTTTAAAAAATAAAAATAAAATTTTAAATTATTTTATTTTATTTAATTAAAAATTTAAAAATTTATTTTTTTTAAATGTTAATTCTAACATTTAAAAATTAATTTAAAATTTAAAAATTTACTTTATTAAATATTAATATACATATTTAAAATTAATTATTAAAATATATAATTAAATTTTAAATTCAAATATCAATACTTTAAAAAATAAATTAAATTTTAAATTAAATTTTAATTAAATAAAATATATTTTAAAATCAAGATTCTAATTTTATTTTGAAAAATGAAAATTAATATGCACTTAACTTTTTATCTAATTAATAATTAATACATTATATTTTGAGGAACCTCAACTGTAATTAACCCAAAAATGGTAGAAGCTGTTCCAAGATACAAGGGGAAAGGAGTCTCTGGTAATCATATCATCAAGTAGAAAAAGCAGAATGAGAAAATTCAGTTCTTGAACCGAGTGCTCCTACTGATCCCAGCATTGATACCAGTGGCTTCTCCTCCGTATTGGCCTGTAGGTTTCCTGATATCCCGGACCTGGCCTTTCCTGCGTTTCACTGCTTGTTCATGCTGAACCTGTAATACCATCAGGGAGGGAGAAAGATGGACGTTAATTAAGGATTCGGATAATGTAACCTATTTGCAGAAATGATTCAATATTTTCTGTTAATGTACCCTGTATTTCTTCCTTGGGTTTTTAGTCAGCTTCTTGCGTCTACGCGTCAAACCTCTGTTCTTTTCCATCTGTTAAGAATAAGCAGAAAATATACAAGTTACAAATCCATGGTCCATAGTAGTTAATTTAAATGAACAGGGAACTTAATTTGTGTTCACCTGGTAAGTGATCTGTCGTTTTCCATCAACAGTTTCAGGCAAGGATGGGGTTGCTGAGTTCCTGCAGAAACAAGAGCATTTTATTTTGTTAAGGATGGCTGTAACATGCAAGTTCAAAAGTCCAATGTTTATTAAAAGAAGTAGAAGCCAACTCAAAATTCAAGAACCCTTAATAAGCCTCTCTAATCAGGATAGAAGAAAAAGGAGGACTAGCCTATGGTGAAGCACAGAGGAGGAAACACACCTTGAATACATCTCAGCTTTTGCAGCAAGTTTTGCAGCTCTCTGTTGCCTTACTTGTTCATAAAGGTCATCTTCTGAATCTTCTGTATCACCATCCTCCACATCAGCATCTCCATCTTCTTGGAGAGTGCCTAATTCATCTTCAGCATCACCCTCAGATTTAATTCCAGCTCCTGCAAGAACTTTGAGCTCATGTTTTCTTCTCCTTTCTCCAATGTCATCTCTCTTAGGTAAATCATCATCACCAGAGACAACCTTGGCCTTCTTCTGTTTCACAGTAACAAGTTGAGAAAGTTTAGCAGGGTACAGTGAGCTATCCTGCCCATTACTCAAATTGTTGCTGCGTTGCTCAACATTCATAGCATCGTCACCAAAATCATCATGTGTTTCTAGCTGTCTGTTCAATTCCAAAGTAGGTTGAATTAGTCTTCATAATGCCAGAGGAATATTAACTTAGCCAGGATAAAGGCAGTACCCATTCAATGGTTTCACGTGTCTTTTGGCTTTATCAGGCTTTGAGGTAATGGAATTAAGAACTCCATTCTGCTTTAATTTTTCTGCAAGAGCAGCTCTTATTTTCAACATTTCCTTGCTTTGGACACTGATTTGATCATTCTGCCATATTTAGGAATCCCGTATAAGAAACATTGCTCTTAGCTATGTGATGGAACCACAAGAATAGACCACAAAACAAAGCTCTTTGGAGAAAAGGAAAGGAATTGCAAGGTGGGCATGTTAGGAAAGTAGAGTGGAAACTTAGCTGACACATCTCACCTGATGCTTAGGTTTCTCAACCTTGTTGTCCTGGTCCCTTGTAGACTCTACTTTTCCAAAGTTAGTTATTTCTTGAAGCTGTACAGTGAAATGAGAAATATGTCAACCTAATATATCAGCAACTTCAAGGAAACATGTCACAACAGAATAGGATGAAATACTAATTACCTTTGCCTCTGGTGCAGCAGTAGCTGGTGAAGGCACATGGTCCTTTGTGAAGGATAATGGTCCAGCTTTCTCTTTAACCAATTTTGGTCCTTTCTCAGCCCCATAGTTTTTTGTCAGAATCTCCTCCAATTCAGAAGGAAGATTTCCATCAAGTTGTTTCATCTGTAAAGTAAAGCAGGGATTAGAGTAAAGGCACCAAATGTAGCAAAACATAAACTGGATACATGGCAGCCAAAAAGTAATATGGACTGTTTAAAAGAGAATAGAAAATGAAATGTAGAGAGGCAGTTACATATGTCTCCAAGAGAGTATTTAACATATAAAGAATAAGTAATTTTGAAATCTAGTACATGGTCAGCAAGCATTTTCATACTAGGTGAAAACTGTGCAACTGAGAGTCTTGACCACTTTATTAGGCAAGATAAAAATGAAAAAGGAACAATGCAAGTAAATAGAACACCTTATCCAATAAACCTTGGATCTCAACAATACGACTTAAAACAGGATGATCACGAACTGGTTGCCCTTCAGACTTGAGAAGAAGATAAAATGCTATAGCCTGGCAATATGCCAGCAAAAGCAGCTGCTTCACCTCCAAATAGCGCATCCCACCTTCCAGAGAGGGTCCCCCCTCTTTTGCCTAAAAAAACATAAAGCCTTTATCATACAAAATGCAAATATTTCTTTAAGGAAAATTGGCCATGAGAAGGGTATTGCAAGCACAGGAATTGAAGACTCATAAATTTCTCAAATGCACCAAATTATATCCAATTCTGGAATCATCCTAAAAGTCATAACTAACCATCATCCTTATATTGCAGTCCTTCAGTTCCTAATTGAATCCTAATAAATCTGAAAAAAAAAAAAGTTTATAGTTGTGAACTCAGAGCCAAGACTCTAGGAAGCCCTGACATATAAATTGATCCAGGCACAACCAAGGATGGGTAGGAAAACAACACTCAACGAAATTTTTGTTTTTCAGATAGTGAGACCTAGTGTACATAGATCCACAACTGTGGATCATTGGAATGCTGGAACTGTAAATAGAATAGTCAGCTGAGAAGAATAATACCTTTCTTAAAAGAGGGTTAACTTTGTTTTCAAGCTCTTCAAATGCAACATTCAGCTCTGACAATAAACCAACTAATTCTGGAGCAGAACTGAAATGGCAAAATCATTAACTCCTGTTAGATTCCATAAAACATCACCATACATCATCTAATTGTGCCAAATTAGGACATAAATGCACCAGAATCAGGGAGAAGCAGATTTGGTATTGCAGCATATACCATAAAATGGAGTTCTAGACCAAAAGATGGCCCTAAAAAATGAAATTGCATGAAAATGATAAAAAGCAACAATAATTACTATGATAGGAGAAAACTCAAACAGACAAAAATGAAAAAAAAAAATCACCTATATACAACATCCATCTGCTCCTCATTTGACAAAGCATTCAGATCTTTCTTGACCTTCTCAAAAGTCGTAACCTCACCATCCACAGGTTTGTCGATAGCTTGAGATTTTTTTCTACCTTTTCCTTTTGCTGAAATTTCCTGTATAAAGTGTGTTTTTACACCATGGTGACTATATGTCCCTAACCAATCAAAGTAGCAGTTCAAGCAATACTCACCTCAAAGGTTGGCTCCTTCTCACTCTCATTTTCACTAATATCTTCAGGAACAAAGTCTTCCGTTGATAAATATTTTGCCTTTTCCCTCTGCATTCTCAAGACCTCTTCTTCCTCTTCAGCAGGAGACTCATCATCACTTGATTGTAGCTTTAAGAGTTAAGAGTAAACCAGAGAAAAAAAGGGAAAAATCAGGTCCATTTCAAAGCATATTTATTTTACCTACAAATCAACTGGTAAAAAGGTCTAGGAAGGAAGTGGAAAGAGAGTATTCAAATTCTCAACTCAAAAAAAAAAAAAAAAAAATCTCACCTCAAAATTACGGTTATCACCATGATAATAATCACTCTTTAGCCCTCCCCATAAAGCTTTCTTATCTTTCTCATCTTCATCTTCTTCATCATGCATTTCATCCTCAACTCCACCATATTTTGCTCGAAGATACTTTTGTTGCCTTGCAACTGCAAATTACACATATTAAGTGATTTGTTAAATTCAACTTCACCACACATACAAACCAAACATCTGCGTAAGCCGTTATAAGAAATAAACTACATATATTGCCTATAACCTATCGTAGAAAACTGAACAGTTCAAATTTACATTCTTACGTTTGGCAGCAAACCCAGAAATGTGGGCATCATCATCGTCTTCATCTTCCTCTTCATCATCATCATGCTCACCATCATTGATACCCTACATGTAATGAAGTGGGCTGATAAATAGGAATCCAAAAGAAAAAGCAAATACTTCAATAACATACTTGCCCTTGTGATGAACAATCTTTTATCAATTCTAATATATTGAAACAGTTCCCACAATGCTTTGTTGTGTACAGCAAACCAACCAAATTATTGATTTATAAGAAAATTAAACAAAGCAATAAAAGGTTTTCTTGATCTTACTTTCCAAAAACTGGTCTTTCTGCTTTTTCTCTTATTTCTATTTACCCACAGGAGTTGGTGCAACAAAGGCTAGTGATTGTTTATAGAAAGAAAATATAATAAAACAAACATGTGTGTTTTGTGTTTTTAAATGTAGCATCACAAGGAAGTATGCTAGTTTTATTTGGTGTGGAAATAGAAGTTTTCAAATCTTTTTACCCATTCCCTTCTCAATGCTTTTTGAAATTTATAACCCTTTTTCAATGTGCACTTGATGAAACAAAAAACAAGATAAGCAAATCTAAATCTGCTTACAGATGATGTATTATCACTTAGTAACATTCAATTCCTCAAGTTAACCATATTGCTTAGAGAGGCATCTATTAATTTTTCAAAAAGCAAATACAAAAGCCATAAAAAAAACTGTTACAAGGTGAGGTGGGACCAAACGACAACCTGAAGATCAAAAACAGGATGCTCGTTATCTTCATCTGAGTCCTCTACATCCCCATTTATATCGAGTGGTATAATATCTCTCTGCTTGTGAACTGCAAGCAACATAATACACAATACATAAAAAAAAAAGTAAAAAAACACAATTACAAAAAAGAAAACAAATAGGTGCACTAAGGTAGCCTGGCGAGTTCGCTGCTTTCAGACCATTACAGTGAGAACTACAGTTAAACATTGGCTATAAAAAAAATGAGAGGCACATACTTAAAACCATAAACAGATAAAGTTAAATGGATATTACATGTATCAATCTCATCGTCCATGTCTTCAGGGTGAACAACATCATCACGATGTCTTCTCTTAGGGTTTCTCATGTCTTTCTTCTGGCTCTTCCCTCGCTTTCCCATTGCTAAAAACAGTCTTATTTTTTATTTCCAGAAACTAAAAACAAAAGAAGATGAACAATTCATCAACACTTTATGCTAAAACATGAACAAAATTTACGAGACCTTCTCGAAATACAATTAAGCAGCTACAACAGCAAAACTACAGACTCTACCAATGAAATTCACCCCCAAAAAAATTGCAGAAGAAAAGCTCCCATCTTGAAGTGGGGAGATGAATCCCATAGTATCATAAAAGCTTACCCTATGAAAAATGAACTCAAAATGTCTTCGAAAACACGTAAACTAGAGAAAGTTGGGAGCAAAAGTTCTCTCAGAGAAAATCAATTTCAAGTCATAAGAGTTTAGCGGCATTCAATCAAACAAACTCAGGCATGGATTCGTCGAGATGCTTACCGTCTTGTTGCCGGAATATCTGAGGAAAAGGATCGGACGGCGGGAGAGAAGAATCAAAGGAGAAGAAAAGCAGCTCAAGTGGGTTCGAAGGTGGCGGGGAAGGATGATGATAGAAAGGAGAGAGAAGAAAAGAAGGGTTTTGGTTCGGAATTCCGATGAGTTGAGTCTCCGGCCCAATTTCTGATTTTGGGCTTCTTCATATCATATTGAATAAGAGTAAGACCCAACCCAGCCCGTTTATACTCCCGCCGGTACCGCCTCCGTTAAAAACGGCAGAACCCTACAAAGAGGAAGAGTTCTTCTCTGTATGGGCGGGTAACAACGACAGGTGCTATGCTCAAAATTTTGCAAAATCAGTCCAGGTTTGGGAAATTGTAGAAAGACTCTTTCTTTTTCACTTCCTCCATGTTGTATTTTGAGTTTTTTCAGAGCTGAGTTGTTTTTGCTAAGATAGAGCGTTATGGCATTAGCTGGCTTATCTTGAGTTGGGTTTTAGTCATAGTCTGGGAACTTAATAGAACATGCAAGATAGGAATCAAAGTTCTGATCTTTTTGGTAAATTTTCTCGAGGTTTCATAGCAAGCAAAAGGTGGGTTTTTTTTTTTAATCAAACAGAGTGAGGATTTTTTGTTTCCCTTTTTTAAGAATTAAATTATATCCTTTAGAATCGTGAAATATAAAATTTTGGTTGCCTTTTAACTTAATGATTATTGTTTTATGTGGTTTTAAGTTATACCTTAATTACAATTGCTCAACAATATACAGACAATTGAAACTTACTCCCTTTTTCTTTTTTGCTTTTTTTTTTTTTCCTTTATTATTTTTTTAATATTTTTGTGGGTGCTTCTTTTGTGACCTAATATGAGTTTCAAGATTATGCTTATCTCATTTTTCTTTGTTTTTGGGGTAACGTGTGACTATGTCTTCACTTTTTCTCTTGCTGGGTAGATTTTTATCCCTCTTCTTTTTGTTCAAATATTTCGTCTACTCTTGAAACCAAGAATTAATGCCATTCTTGTACAGGAGCATTGATTCCATGCTATAGTTATCAAGGAATGAGCTTCGTCAATTCATGGCGTATTATCATTCTTTGCATCTCCACAGTCGTTCCTTATGGAGTAGTCTTCCTTCGTTGGGAAGAAAATTCTCAAGGACTCAGAGGGGTGTGAACAACTTGTACCACCTCCAGAAATGCTATCTAATTTGTCCTTCACCGGTTCAATCTATTAAGGTACTACCCAGAGAATATCTAATGGAACAAGCATAAAACTTAGAAGAGGCCTTGTTGTTGTTCAAAGACATTTTGTAGTTTCTTATTCCTTTTCTGGGAGATTATGCAAAAGTTCATTTATTAATTCTGTACTTAATCCTCAGGACTACTGTAGTTTATCCAACAATTTATGCTCAGATTCACCTCAAATTCTTCATGCAACTTCTTCTAGTGCGGAAGTAATTTCTTCTAGAAGGGAACAAATATCACATCCTGAGGCAACCATTAATACACTGAAGCAGGAAGAAAGAGCAGTGGCTTCTACTTCCTCAGATGGTAGAGTGATGCTCATTGATGGCACATCAATCATATACAGATCTTACTTCAAGCTTTTAGGTAACTAGTATTGCTCATCTTTTGCCATATGTCAAATGAATTGATTTTGTTACCTAGACTTTTATGTGCTGACCATAAGCCATCTATGTGAGCTGTTATTGTATGGGTACAAGATCATATTGCATCTTTTTGTTATCTCTAGGATTTTATGTTGAGTGTGACTGTGTTTGGTTTGTTGTTTGTAACCCTCATTGTTGATACTTGTATAGGTACTAAGGCTGTAATATTACAATTTGATGGGTTTTAGAGTAAGGACAGATGGGTTAATGGAATAAATTTCTTAGTTATCTAAGAAAAGCAGTTTATTTTTTGCTTTGGCTTTAAGCTTTCTAATCAGAGAATTAGATAACCAAAAAGCTCAGCTGAGTATCTTTCCACTAACTTCAAAACCTATATCTCACAAATCTTTATGGTTGATAAGTTTGGGTACTATTTTTGTATTATGGTTCATAAAGGATATGGTCAGTATTGCCACGTGGAAAATTATGGCAAACAGTAATGAGTATAATGAGATGTACAAAGGTTTAAACCATGTGTTTAACAACAGTGGCTAAACAAACAACTTGAAAGTGACCTCAGATAGCAAATATCCATTTGAAATAGAGGCCCTTACTTTAGTTAGATTTTTATTAGAGCTGCTTGTGAGGTATAAGCAATGAGGATGGAGGGGTTGACAGTTGACATGAGGGTTATCGTAGGGTGCTTAATGACTGTACATTGAATGCCTCCTGCATTTTCTGGAACTATTTGTGAAACATAGATCGATATTCTTTTTACTCCTCGCAAAGAAATTGAAGCATAAAAACTTTGAAACTGCATTTGCATGTGTTTCTATCCTTCTTTGCAAGTCTTGTTTACTTTATTCTACTTGGTCACATTTTTGGTAGTTGTTACGAGGAAGTTTATCCCCATTTTTTGCCTACTTTATTTTTTTCCAGAAAAAAAAAAGGAATAGTTATGATCATAAATCTTTGTATACAACTGTGTCACTGTCCTTATGGCGTATACCTGGCTAATACTTTTATTTTTTTACCTTGATGCTGAACTTACACTGATCATTATTCCAATCTTTTCCATGAACCTGAGAAGCAAAACTGAACCATGGTCATCTATCTCATGCTGATGGCAATGGAGACTGGGTTTTAACCATATTCACAGCTCTATCTCTTGTAAGTGATATGTATACGAGTGGCCATTTTACTTGGTTTTATTTTCATTGTTATAATTCTGAATTTAGCATTTATCAGAGGTCATTTCTGTTGACCAACAGCAAATTCAACCTTTTATTTTGCTACTCATGCTAAAATTATGACGAAATTTAACTGTGGATATTGCCCTATTTATTCTTTTTCTTAATTATATTTCTCCTTGTAATTCTGTTCTTTTCCTATTTTGATGAAGACTTTCAATTGGTTGTTTGTTGGTTTATTTTAAACTGCAATATATGCCCTACTTTTCATAATTTAATTTTTTTAATTATTATTAACCTTTTTTAATACATAGATCTAAGGCATTTCTTTTCATTATTTCTCCTGCAGATAATTGATGTTCTGAAGATTTTACCTTCACATGTGGCGGTATATTCCACTTCTTTTCAAACATTTGATTCATTTTTGTATTCTTGTATAAAAGTTCAAGTTTAGCCACACTCTGTATCTTTATCTTACATTTTCCAACATGGGTCTAATAAGTGCTCTTTCTAATGCAGGTGGTGTTTGACCATGATGGTGAGATATGAAATTCAATAATATTTTTTATTTTAT